CTGAGAACAGTCTGAGAACAGTCCCATTTGGGTAACTCTATATCACTCACCCAAAACTTTTCTTCCTTCAAAGTAATATTGCTGCAAGCTGTTTAGCTATTAACCATTTGCAATTTGGGATGCCTATCACCTTGGTAATGGAAGAAGAAACTTGATATTGCAGCTAAAATCCAAACAATTTCCAGGAATTTTTTTTTAACTTTTTTTTTTTGAGACTCAACTCACATCACCCAGGCTGGAATGCAGCAGTGTAATCATGACTCCCCAGGCTCAGGTGATCCTCCCACCTCAACCTCCCAAGTACCTGGGACTACAGGTGCACACCACCATGCCTGGCTGATTTTTGTATTTTTAGTAGACATGGGGTTTCAACCATGTTGTCCAGACTGGTCTTGAACTCCTGGGCTCAAGCCATCTGCCCACCTCAGCCTCCCAAACTGCTGGGATTCCAGGCATGAACCATTGTGCCTGTATAGATCCCAGCAGATCTATTAAAATTTTTTAAAAGCAACTGGCCTTAGGCAAGTCACCCTGTTTCTTTTCTTTACCTATGAAAAATCAGGGGCCAGGCACGTTGGCTCATGCCTGTAACCCCAGCAGTTTGGGAAGTCAAGGCAGGCCCATCATCTGAGATCGGGAGTTCAAGACCAGCCTGGCCAACATGGTGAAACTTCATCTCTACAAAAACACAAAAAGTAGCCAGGCTTGGTGGTGCACACTTGTAGTCCTAGCTACTTGGGAGGCTGAGGCAGTACAATCACTTGAACCTAAGAGGCAGAGGTTGCAGTGAGCCAAGATCACACCACTGCACTCCAGCCTGGGTGACAGAGTGAGACTGTTTCAAAAAGAGAGAGAGAGAGAGAGAGGGATAAAAAAGAAAATAAAAATCAGGGAACTGGATGTTGCTTGTGGGAAAATAATGAGTGGTTCAGAACATTCCTACTAAAAAAAACTCAGGTCTTCATCCTCTGGCCCCCATCTTCCTATATCAACCTACCCTACTGTTCCTTAGTTCCAGAAACACCTGGCTGGCATTCCCAGCAGCAACTCTGATGACACGATAAGCAGGATCTCCTGATATCTGAGCATCCAAGGACTTGGGGAAAGTGTTAGTTAGGAACACAAAGTCACACACAGCTCATCACTCAGTTCTCAGGACGTCCCCACCCTTCCTTTCCATCCCCAAGAAATGACATGTGGCTGCTTTGGGAGTGACCAAATCTCTGGAATTTCTTCCCCAGTATATTCCTTCCACACTCTTCCCTACGAACTAATTTCAGCAATGCAGCCCTGCACATAACAGAGACGTGATTGAGTGGCCTGTAGCTCGCAGCATCTTTCACTGGCTTTGTCTCTTAAAGAGTTAAAAAAAAAAAATAGCTGTCTTGATTGTGGTTGCTTTTCCCCTCAAATGCAAAGATTTGGTTCTGAGTGAGAATGTACAGAAAAATTTTAGATCTGGAAATGTCCAATTCAGGGAATTAGAAATGTGTCACCACAATAGATGTTTGATTTACAAGTAGCATGCCTTGCACATCATGTATGTGCCACGGGCTACGAACACTAATCGTATTTAATCACATCCAACTAAATTACAAAAGTGAATGTGGCTTGCTGTGTGAAGGAGGCGCTGAGAGCCCAGCCTTTGTGCTCAGCACGCCCACACTCCAATCCAGGCTTTGCACATAGTAGGCTGTTGCAGCCGTCACTTCCCAGAAAGGACTTCCTGGTTGTCCGTTGTCTAATAAGTACGCTGAGGTGTTACAGTGGTAGAGACTTAACTAGGCTGTGCATAAATAGCAAAAGCAGCTAAGATGACCTAGAGTCTTCTCTATGCAAATGCTTTGCCTGAATTAACTCATTTAATCCTCAAACAACCATAAAAGCAGAAATGTGTTTATTGTTTTATGAAAATGTAGTTATTATTTAGAAGGTAATAAAACGTAAGTTCCAGGATGCCTCACTTGTGCAAGCCCCTAAAAATGGGTGATATTTGTGGTGCCTGTCACAATGCCAAAGTGTGTAATTTGTTGCGCTTTGTCATTCTAAATAAATGGTCATTTTGGCACCTAATTTTGTAGTCATAATTTGATAGTTTTTTCCCTTCAAGAGGGCCCTGAAAATTGTATAAACTTCACTCTCCTCCCAAAGCCTGGATCCACCCCTGCCTCTGCAGGAGGAATTATTAACAATTCTGTGTTTCAGATGATGAAACTGAGACCCAGAGAGGTTAACTGACTTGCCCAAGAACACACAGCCAGTAAGTGATGGGGCCCAGATTTGAACCCAGGCAGTCCGGCACCACATGGCGTACTCAGTGAGAATACATTATTCTCTCTTATTATTTTCACATAAAGCTACTAGCAAACTCTCTGGGACACTGGGACATTATGGATACTCATTAACTGATGGCTTTTACCATTTTGTCCATTTAAAACTGCTTTGAGAATAATGGGAATAAAACTATTTAAAGAAACCATATAATTTAAACTAACAAAACAGGTAACTCTGTAGCAGACAGTTTTTCTACAAGGGACTTTCTGTTAAATACTAATTTCCAAAAAGATTATTTTAAAATACTGCTATTCAAGGTGTGCCGCTGGGCACAGTGGCTTATGCCGGTAATCCCAGCACTTTGGGAGACCAGGGCGGGTGAATCACTTGAGCTCAGGAGTTTGAGACCAGCCTAGCCAACGTGATGAAACCCCGTCTTTATTAAAAATACAAAAATCAGCTGGGAGTGATGGAGCGCACCTGTAATCCCATCTGCTTCAGACGCTGAGGCATGAGAATCACTTGAACCTGGGAGCCGGAGGTTACAGAGAGCAGAGATACCACCACCGCACTCCAGCCTGGGTGACACCACAGTGAGATTCTGTCTCAAAAAAAAAAGTGTGGTGCATGGACCACCTACATCAGAATCGTCTGGGCCCCATCCCAAACCTAATGGATCTAAACCAATGGAAGTGGGACTCAGGAAGCTGAGCGTAAAAATTGCATAAGATTTGCAGAGACTTCCATTTTTAAAAATTAAGTTTACATATAATTTTGAAGACCATAATGATTGAGAATAGAGCACTCATTACATTCCCAGATTCTGCTCTAAGAGTTAAGTATTTGAACTGTTTCACACTTCAAAATTCTAGTGAAGTAACGGCATCATCCCCATACAGAGACAGAGGCTCATAAACATTAAGTAACTCCCCAGTGAGTGCAGACCCAGGATTTGAACCCAGAAGACTGATGCTGAGCCCATGTCCTCAAACCCTATATCACAAAAATGAAATATAAAAAAAGAATGGATTAGGGATAAAGGGTAAAATTGCAAGTTCATAGAACTTTATACCTTAGGGTTTTTTTTCCTCCTGATTTAGTCATTTTCAAGGATTGAAGACAGCATGAAATCACTAAAATAGGTCAAACCCATGTTTATTTATGACAGAAAGTCCCAGGATTGTTAAACCTACTTGACCTTGTAGATATTAGAGTTTAAACAGTCTTCCTTCCTAGTTCACACAGAATCTTTGTTTCCATCCATCCCACACTCTCCTGTCTTCACGCCCGAAAGTTTCAAGATCTTTGCCCTAAATTCCTTCACTCAGCACTTCAGCAGCCTGAGTCTAAGCCCAAGGCCAGCATGAAGTGCTGACAATGTTTTCGGCCCTTCCGGTGTCATAGTTCATTCAGTCCTCACAACCCTATCCTTTCTCCACATTTCACAGAAGAGGAATGTGAGGCGGAAAGGAAGTTACCCAGGGTCCCAGAGCTGATAAGTAACAGAAGCAAGAATCAACCCCACACATCCTGGCACCAAGCACATGCCTTCAGCCACTTGCTAAAACCTCTCCAGTTATTGAGTTCCCACTGTATACCAGGTCCCTAACACAAACTAGCTGAGTCCTTACAATTTGCTCAAAAAGAGCCATATTCCCTGCCCTGACCAACGAGGACTTGAAGGCTCTGAGAGATGAGCGGACTTGCCCAGAACACACCACTGAGTAGAGCCCAGCCTGACTCTTTGCAGCCAAAGCCTGCACTTCTCCAACACCACTACCATGACTCCTGGGACTTTTATTAGCTATTCCCTCCCTAGAGGGACGTGCCATTACTTCCACTTTGCTGTTAAGCACATTCACAGGACAGAGAGCAGGAAACCATCTTCATATTTAGGCAGTCCCTCTTTAACTCTGCTCTGAAAAACAGGGGCTGGAAAAGGGAGAAGAGGTCCGCCTCATTGCATCTTCCACCCCGAACACACACGCTGGGAGCTAAACGGCTTAAATATTTAAATGGCATGTGTGTGAACAGCACTTCTACTTTGCGACGGGGCCATGTGGCGCGTTACATCTCAATGCTATTGGTGTGAACCCGATTCATACTTTTTAAAGACAAAAAAGCCTGTCTATTCATTATTTTATTGACATTTGATATTTGCAGGTCTTATTCGCCTGTGAAGTTAAGAGACATTTAAAACGCAAATCCTGACAAACGCACAGACCAGCAACTGCAGGAACTCAGACGCTTTGGTTCCCGGTGCTGGCCACCTTTAAATGCCACCAGTAGTCACTAAATGGGAAAGTCGTGCTCTCCCTGTTTCCCGACGGCAAAAGTCGTCTTTCAGGAGTCTGGAACTCCTCTCGGATTGCCTTTCTCCCTGGATCCACTGCGAGTGATGGTAACAGCAGACTGCCCCCCACGCGTGGTAAGGAAGAAACATTGTAATTATAGTAACTTTTGCAGCTGCCTCCGAAATTAACAACGACCAACAGAAATCTGCGCAATGAGCAGCACCGAGAAGGAGGCTCCGCAGGACGAGTCCCGGACACAGCTCTGCAGGAAGCCTCAGGCCAGGGCAGAGTGATCCACAGAGGGGGACCCCTGGGCCTCGGGTGGGGGCCTGGGCGACGGTCCAAGGGGGCCCAGGCAGAAGCCCCGAGGCCGGGGCGGCGGAGGGAAGGGGGCGGCCGCGCCCAGGCCCGGCTCCCCGCGGCTCCACTTACTTGCTCCGAAGAAACCCAGCTCCGCGCCTCTTCCTGCGACCCCACGCACAGGGACAGCCCCAGGCACAGCCCCAGCAGCAGGAGCATGGCGGGGCGAGGGTGCGGGACGCTCAGGGACCCGGCGGGACGCGCTTTGCAGCACCCAGGGCTCCGGCCACTGCAGGACGCACTCGGGGCCGCCCACCACACAGTCCCAGCCCGGACCCCGCCCACCCCGAGCCCAACCCGGACCCCGCCCACCCCGCGGTTCCCTCCTGGACTCCAACTCTCCCACCCCCAGCCCAGACCCCACCTCCCCACCCCTCAAATCTGGGCCCCGCCTTCCCCATTTCCTTTCCCAATCCCGGACCCTCCTTGATCCTGCCCGCAGACCAGATCCTGCCTCCCTGGACACCCCTTGCCCGGGCCTCGCCTTTTTGGGCCCCAGTCAGGACACAGCTTCCCCAGGTCCCAATCCCAAGCCCCGCCTCTCCACTCCCCAATTTCCCCCATCTCCCCAGTCCCGGCCCCGCCTCCCCTGGCCCCGTCCCGGACCCCGCCTGCCGCCACCCCCTCCAACCCGGGCCCCGCCTCCCTGCGCGCCCCCACACCAGGCCCCGCCCCGGCCACCGCCTTCCCCTCCTCAGCCCCACCAGAGCCTCCCCAGCCCCCCACGCCGGGCTAGTTTAGTTCTGGGGAGAAGGCACTCCAAGCCTCGCCGCGCACAGCAGGGCCACCTGTGCTGGCCCCACGTACCCCTCCCACACCCTACCATCCTGCGGCTGTGACACTTTGCTAAGGGCCAGTCTCCTCTGTCGAACCTCCTACTCCGTTTCTTGCCAACACCCCGGCCCCCCCTCATCTCTTTCTTCCTCGCCCTCAAAGTGCAAGACGCTTCTTTGAGGTCTTGCTTAATTTCTGTCCCCAGAGGACGCGGGAAGGCCTGCCTGGCCCTCAGCACACGGCCCACCGCGCACCTGCCAGCCTGAAGCCGGCAGCTCGTCCCCTCCGCACGGGCCACAGACGCTCAGCAGGCCGGATAAAGGATGCTACCTGCAGTCTAGCGCGGGAGGGACTGGCCAGGCTGCGGGCCTTCGTGTTCTGGACGAAGGAGAAAGCAACGAGAGAAATACCTTACAGCCCGTGTAGTATTTCTGTTGCATGTGGGGATACTCTGGGGCCACGTCTCCGGAAGCATGGAGAATGCTGACAGTGTAATCTAAAGAGAAAATCACATCGCCAAATCGACAGTATGATTGCAATTAGCTGGAAATACACATGGATGGACACAACTAGGAAAAAAAATGAAAAATAAAAACAGGGTCTGACGCTGTGGCTCACGTCAGTAATGCCAGCATTTTGGGAGGCTGAGGCAAGCAAATCACGAGGTCAGGAGATTGAGACCATCCTGGCTAACAGTGAATCCCCGTCTCTACTAAAAATACAAAACTTAGCTGGGCGTGATGACACACGCTTGTAATCCCAGCTACTCGGGAGGCTGAGGCAGGAAAATCGCTTGAACCGCGAGGCGGAGGTTGCAGTGAGCCAAGATCGCACCACTGCACTCCAGCCTGGGCGACAGAGCGAGACTCCATCTCAAAAAAAAAAAAAAAAAAAAAAAAAAAAAAAAGAAAGAAAAAGAAAAAGAAAAATTAAAACAGTGGTTAGGTTCGTTTGTGGTGAGATCCTCGAAAATACTTAATTTATTCTTGCGGAAATGCTGTTTTTGTTAAAAACAAGCGCCTGCTACTGTGAAATTATTGTCATTAGCAGTTAACCCTTTAACAGCCTCGCCACTGACTACAGAGCATGCAACCAGCAAGAAACCACAGTCGTTCGTCCAGCGAGGTGTCCGCAGCAAAACCACTGACAAGCCTGGCAGCAAACAAATTGTGTGCCCGTCCTGTCCTTGCTTGTAACCAAGGAAGATCATTGCAAGTCTTCTGGAATCAGGATTTGCCTATTTTTTCCTGGAGAGGAAAGTAACTATTTGTGAACCGGAAGTCGAATTGGACAAAGCCAGGTTATTTGCAACAGGGAACCACACAGCCGCCATTATTTCAATCCCATGATTGCAACAGAACAGAGACTCCGTGGTCTCATTTGTCTTTCCTTCCCTACCATCCCTTTCTCTTGAAATGCTGAAGGGGTCACATTAAGCTATTTTTGCCTTTATATCTGATCTTCTTCCCCAGATTCATACTGACTGGCTTTACAGCAGTCCGGCGTTAAGAAATATCCGTTTTATTTTCTTCACCTGGGAGCACCCTCTGATTCTGCTCTCGGCTGCGGTGCTAATGTGTTGTTTGTTTAATATAAGGCCATTTTCTCCAATTGGATCAACTCTTTGAGGACAAGCATCTCACCCAACTTCTAGCACTGTTCTAAATATATTGTTAGCAGTTAATGGCCTTTTGATGAATGGGATTAGTAGATGGAAGGAATGAGTGGGGCGGGGGTAGAGCCAGGCTGTGCCAGGGAGGCAGGGCTGGGCAGTGGTGCAAACTTGACTGCTACCTCACTATATGACTTGAGAGAGCTTCTGAACTTCCTCTTATTTTCAAGCCGCAATAGTTCAGTATTGTGTGTGACACCTGTGTATCTGTATGATGATCTCTAAAAACCAGGTCGGTGTGATAAAAAAAATAAGACCCAGTGAAAGTGTTCCAAGACTGTCAACACGTATAGGCAATGATTTGTAACAGCCTTACAAATAAGGCTGAAAAAAATCAACCCACCCCAAAAAGGGGGACATATTTGAATAAGGGCCAAGGTGTCCCCACACGTGGCCTTTCAGTCCACTTCTCATTTTACTTCCAGGAGGAGCTGAATTTCCAGTTACTGAACACATAAAACCTCAAGGCTAGAAAAGGCCCCGCAGGGTGTGTAGCTCCATTCATTCACAGCACCACGTGCCATGAGTGACAAGTGGCAGGGAAGGACCCCAGTGTTCATAGACAGGCTCTAGGTGCAGAGCTCAGCAACAAGGGACTCAGAGTCCAAGAATGAACAGGAGCTGTTTCTCCTGGGCCAGAGATTCTGTCCATGCCATTTCTAGGAAATGATTCCCACGAGTAACTGAATGACGGACTGAAGTATTCCAGAATTATCTAATCACACTTGTGAGAGTTATCCCTTTATCCTGGTCTCCTACTGGAGATGAGCAATGGATGGGCCCAAAAGCAGAGTCAAAACAACCTTGACTTAGGGCCTGGCATGGTGGCTCACGCCTGTAATCCCAGCACTTTGGGAGGCTGAAGCGGGCAGATCACCTGAGGTTGGGAGTTTGAGACCAGGCTGACCAATATGGAGAAACCTCATCTCTACTAAAAACACAAAATTTGCCAGGTGTGGTGGCGCATGCCTGTAATCCCAGCTACTCCGGAGGCTGAGGGCAGATGATTGCTTGAACCCGGGAGGCAGAGACTGCAGTGAGCCGAGTCTTGCCATAGCACTCCAACCTGGGCAGTAAGAGCGAAACTGTCTCAAAACAACCACCACTGTGACTTGAAGAGATTAAAGAGCTGAACGCAGGGTGCGGTTTGTTTTCTTTTAAACCTCTCCCTTGAATTTACACCCTGACACCCCATGGGTAGAGTCAAGTCACAGCCTAGTCCTTTGGCCTCCACCTCCTCCCTGCTCCCATCCTCCCCCCTGAGCCTCTGAGTGGCCGTTGTTCTGTTCTGGGCCAACTCTTTCTCCCCGTCCTTGGTCTGCACCTTTTTAATCTACTTATCCGGCCTTGTGTGTTTCTCTTGGCCCCCTGACAACTGTGTAGACTCGCTACAGTTTTTCACAACCTTGGCTTTTTTTTTTTTTTTTTTTTTTTTTTCTTGATTACAGGGACTGCTAGGGAGGAACTGGGTTCCTTTTCACTTGGATTCAATAATTTCTCAGAAGCTCAGTTATAGCTGCCAGGAGTCTAGTTACACCTGCTTTTCATCCACTTCAGCAAGCATTTAGTTTTGTCTAGAGATTTGTGAAGGAAGAAATAGAGAATGCAGTTTGTAAATTATGATTGGTGATTGCTGAACTCATCAAGGTTCACAGAGTGTAATGCTTACCATATTTTAATTATTCACTTGCAGATTGAGGACCCAAATTAGACTCTGATTTGGAGTTCAAAACCAGCCTGAGCAACATAGCAAGACCCCCATCAAGAAAGAAAGAAAAAGGAAGGAAGGAAGGAAAAAAGGAAGGAAGGGAGGGAGGGAGGGAGAGAGGGAGGGAACAGAAAAAAGGGAGGGAGAGAGAGAAGAAAAGGAAGGAAGGGAGGGAGGGAAGAAAGGAAAAAAGAGAGGGAGGGAAAGAGAAAGAGGAAAGGAAAGCAGGAAGGAGGGAAGGAGGCAGGCAGGCAGGAAGGAAGGGGAATAGGGAATGGGAGGAAAATAAAGAGAAAGAGGGAGAAAATAAGGAAGGAAGGAAAAGAAAACAGGAAAGAAAGAAAAGAATAACCTTCTTGATGACACAGAAATCCTGCTCACACATCCCACAACTATGGTAGCATACACATGCAACTTATAACAATGATTACTATTTCTGTTACCCGAGCTGGCTGCCACCACCAATTCCATCCAGTGAGTAGTTGAACACCAGTGCTTTTCCAGTGTCATGAGTGCTGTGGGCTCTCCATCCTGGCTGTGACACCTGTCCATGGCCATATACGTCAAGAACTCTGTGCGATTATGCAATATGCCTAATATGAAACGCCAAAGCAACGCAAGCCTCTGGCAGTGATCCCATCGATTCTGCACGAGCATCTGCTGTTTGATCCATAAAACCCACTTTGGAGAATTGATCATTCAAATAAACCTGCTCACCTACAGAAAGGTGTGGGTACAACATTACACATTACAGTATGAATTTGTTTGTAATGTCCAGAGATTGGAAACAACCCAAAGGTTCATTAACAGGAGTCTGGTTAGATACAATGTGCTACTACGGTTAGATACAATGTGTAACTATGAAGTCTGGTTAGATACATTGTGGTGCTATGAAGTCAAATTAGATACAGTGTGTTACTATGAAGTCCCAGTAGATACAATGTGTAACTATGAAGTCTGGTTAGATACACTGTGGTGCTATGAAGTCAAATTAGATACAGTGTGTTACTATGAAGTCCCATTAGATACAATGCAATACTATGAAGTTCCAGTAGATACAATGTGCCACTATGAAGTCTGGTTAGATACATTGTGGTGTTATGAAGTCAAATTAGATACAGTGTGTTACTATGAAGTCCCATTAGATACAATGTGCT